TGGCGCTCAAACACTTTCACCTGGTAAAATAATTTATTATTATTATTAATTATTAAACTGTCAAATTATTGGATCCCGAGGAAACACTCTCTCATCTTGCCTGTGCTACTGGGTCTGTACAGCAAAATGACAATAAACTTGATTTGAAATAAATAAATAAACACGTTTAAAAACAAATATGACATATTTATGTAGATGTACGTCATGTATTTTGAGATACACAATTTTCATGTGTGTAAAATATCTTTTCTAGACATAAACACATTTGATACAGCTCAGCGTTATGAATGCATAATAATTTAAAATATATATTTATCAACACCAGACTCTTCCTTTCACCGTTATATGATAAAAGTTGTAATAATCAGTTTAATAAATGCATCAAAAACTAATTAAAACTTCAACATAAACTCATCTCAGCCTGCCTCTGCTCAGAAATGTGCAGGAAGCTCCAAGAGTCTGCATTTACAGGACGAGTGGTTTTATTTTAGCTGCTTCCATGACTCACAAAAAAATCATTTCTGGCCCAGAAGGACGAAAATCAGCCAAAGTCCCAAAACCCAAAGTCCTGCTTGAAGTCCTTCAGGTTTTGAAAGGCCACGTTTACTCATTAAAAGCTGCTCGGAGCTGAGTTTGGACTCATTGTGTAATTGGCATAATTAGTTGGCCTTTGCAGCCTCTGGACGTCAACATCTCTGGTCTTGGTCTTGGTTCTGTCTCTGGTCCGGCAGGGCTCGGTGCAGTTGCGCGGTGCTGCCGGCAGGGGTCGTGGTTCTGCGGCCTCCTTCTCTCTCTACGGTGTCTGTGGTGGGACAAGCTGTGATTTACTCCACTACTCATTTATTCATCTTTTTATTCCGGTCCCTGGTTTGTAGTTGGGTCGGTTCTGGTGTTGGAGGTTCGCAGACTTTCAGCAGGAGAATAATTCTGGCTGTGATGTGAACTAACGGGAGCTTGTGTCCGAGGCAGCGTCGCCACTTTGGACTTTTTTTTTCTGGGAACGACTCCGTCCATCCGGTGAGTGAAGCTCCAGCCGGTGACCGAATTAAATACTCATTAATTAACCCGCTAGAACCAGGCGAGCAGCGTCAGAGGCGAGCGGTTCTCCTCAGTGTCCATAAACCGGCTCCTCCGCCCGCAGCTGCTCCCCCGGATCCCACGGAGGAGCTCTGCTAGTAGGGAGCTAACGTGTTAGCAGCAGAAGCTAACTGCTACATGAGCTGTACTGACATATAGTGTAGCTG